AGTAAAGTTTAGTCCTAACTAAACTAAAGTAAAAAAAAAAAAAACGTACACAGGTTACAATGTTGATTTATCTCTTTATCGAACTTAGGCCTAACATAAGTTAAAGTTTTATGAAGTACGGCCTATATACAAATGGATTTACACATTTTGTTGTCTACGATTACAATATGTTTGTATTGTGCTAGAGATGTTATATTTAAAGAACTACTGTTACGATAAAGATACTAATTTGGCCAGAAATGTTTTGCGGGTCTTTACTAGTAAAGGGATTATTTCACTGACAGTAAAAATTTCTAAAGTTGAATATGTTATTCATAATAAAAAGAACACCCACAACTTTCCCAGCAGATGTGAATACATCCACTGATAAAATAAGATAAAACTAGGCCTGAAATGTATCCATAAAATACTACAGTTTCTAACACGTTTGTAGCGATCATCCCATGATTATTTTTCTGTTTAAAAATCACGCATTCTCAAAGCGAACGCTTCATTTGATAATATAGTAACTGCACTGATCGCAAAGCTATTGGTAGAGGTATAGTAACCTTTAATATGTGATGTTGATAAAATAGAAGCACTATATATATATGGATACTAGACTCAGAACATTTTTAAAAACATACGAATGCGTTTGTAGTGGACTGGACTTTGTCTTCTTATACGTATAACCAAAACACATGCAAGTCTCAATCTGTGGAAATAAATTTCAAATCTCAACAATACTTGAAATCTTTTAATCTTCTTTATTATTTCCTGACTTTTCATGACATGATTTGGTTACATTTACCGGTTTCGCGAGTTGATGAAGGCAGAAATAAAGGTGGTTGAGTTAAGGTTAGTTCAGTGTTGAATTCAGGGGGAGGCAAGTATTTTAATTAAAGTACAGTATTTCCCATTTTGTCGAATTTTCATTCATCCCCCCTCCCCCCGTGGAAAGGCCTGGATTCAACACTGTGTTAGTTACTAGGAACCCTGAATTCAACACTGTGTTAGTTACTAGGAACCCTGGATTCAACACTGTGTTAGTTACTAGGAGCCCTGGATTCAACACTGTGTTAGTTAATAGGAACCCTGGATTCAACATTGTGTTAGTTACTAGGAGCCCCAGGAATAACAATAAACTTCTTTTTAAAATTATATCCTCGGGAGTGATCTCTGACGTCACGAAACCGGTTGAATGTACGAAGAAGACAAACGACAGAAGAGTTTAGGTCAAGTACTATTGTGTTTGTGTGTATCTTCAGCATTGTTTAGCTTCGTTTTACTTTTGGTATTAGCCTGAAATAATCAAACATTCTAGGTGACTAGTTTACAATATCAATTTAAAATAAAACAAGGATTAAATAATAGCTATAACCTATTGAAATAATTAGAAACCCAACTTGCAACTATGAAAATATAAACAAAATTGTGTCTCAAGCAATGAAACCACTTTTTGGTCGTGTTTTTCTATCATTTCCAACCGTCCAGAAAACATCATACAAATGTCGTTTGTATGTTTGTAAATTAAGCACAAAGCTAAACAATGGGCTATCTGTGCTCTGCCCACGAAAGGTATCGAAACCAGGTTTCTAGCATTGTAAGTCCGCAGACATACCACTGTGCCACTGGGGGGGGGGCACATCATACAAATGTAGGGCACATTTACTAAATAAAATAAAAATTTTCAAAAGACGAAAACAATATATTTCACGTTCTGATTAAACTTAGACTGTTTCTTATTTCTCTCTCTTTTTTACACAACGCTAGAAACAGGGTTTTGATACCCGTGTTGGGCAGAGCACAGATAGCCCCTGTATAGCTTTCCGCTTAACTTCAAAACATACATTTTTTTTTCTTTCACTTATTTCTAATTTAATCATTCTTAAGCTAATTTCTGTTGTTGCCAATCTCTAGCCTAACGTACTTACTGCTCTGGATAAGTGCTACTTTAAATTAAGATTTAGGGTAACCTTAAGTATCAATCTATACTGTACGTGTTAAACGTTAGAAGTATGAAATTTCTGGAAGCTAAACTTTAGCCTCGCGAAATAAATAGAAATATTCATTTATACCTTAGGAGATGATGGCAGTTTGCTGACCACTTGAAGGCTGGAAGTACTTGAAGATCGAGATGATATTGGCTCGTGCACTCCATTGCTACCGAGACTTAATGTAGAACTTAAGCTAACGGTGTCCCGAGTGGGTGTCTTACACCGGTAAGACGCCAAGCTAGAAGTCGAGAAATGCACGTGTTTCAACATCCTTGCACGTGGGTAATAATAACGCTGTCCCGCTATTACTGTGTTGTTGTATTTTATGGCACCCACTTTATTGACCAGTAAGTCACTCAATGTGTAAATCAACTCTGTAAGGTCAAGAGAGAACTCTATACTAAAATATGCTTCAAGCAGACCTTGGAAAGATGCTCTGATTCCGCTAAATAAACACTGTCTTCGTTCGGAACGAACAGAAAAGCGTTCATCGTGTCGTACGAACCGCGTGTTGTATAGCGTAGTACTAACATGTGGAGTGATCTCGCCGTTGTATTAATGGCGTCATCTCCACTTGACTTAAGCTAGCTCAGTAGCGTGAGCCCATTGGTCTAGCAAGCGTTCCTATAGAAACGACCTTTTTACAGCTCTCTGGTGGTATCGAAGAGGCATACCTGCTGATAAAGGGAAATCCTGTACGTATCACCAAGTTGTGTAATGACTTGTGTTATACTAATTATGTAACGCTTGAATCAGACCAAGGTATTATCACATACGCCCAACACCGTCGTGAGAAAATCTTATGTGTCATTGCAGGTGTTGTCTCGATACTTCCTTGACAAACGCCCGGATAGTTTAGGCGAGAGCTCTTTGATCTGTGGTACCGGGATCCGCATGATTGATCAGTTGTGGGCTCTTTATTTATTAACTATCTTTTTAAGGGATGATGCAGAGTTATTAACAAGGGCTGTATAAGTGTGAATGGAAATAAACAAATGTGCTGGAACAAAGTTGAACAATTTAACAGAAATGGGGCTTGTTGATAAAAGTTCTATAAGCCCGCTGTTAGAAAGGTAAAAACAAAAAGGCTTAGCGTGTACAAAACTAAAACCATTTTGCCAAAAACGCGGGAACGATAAATACGGGCATGACTTTTCTCACGAGACAACTTTTGCCTGGAGGGAGAATGCGCCGAATATTATAATATAATATGCCATATTGTTGTCACTCAACAATTAAAATAAAAACAATATTAATTAATTATACATCGTTGAATTTATAAACGCTTCTCTTCACATTTAAATCAAACTATAGAAGCCGTATTTTAACGTCACATCTACAGTTAGGCTATCTACCTATATTTCTTTCTTTTCATTCTTTATCTATCTATCAATGCATGAAATAGATAAACAAAAGAGATATAGAAAAGAAGTACTTTAAAATAATGGCTGGAGACGGCTTAAATGGGTAATGAAGAAAAACTTTAATATAAGTTTAACATGACAGCAAATGTACAACGTTTCGACAAGGTTTTGTCATCAGGTTTTGTCATCAGTTTAAAATAGCTATCCATTAAACTATCCACATTTTTTTTTAGATATTTACCTCGCCATTTCTTTGGCAACTTCTCACATACTAACATTCGTGTGAAACATTTCACTAATTTCTTGTTAAGCCTATTATATAACGTCACAAAATCACGCTCCAAACTTTGGAGCCGTGAGTGCGTTATAAGAGTATTGGTCAAACCCCACTGTTCTATTATAACACTCCAACAGCTGACGGTGATGGCTTTCCCCTCTAGTCTAGCAGTTTGAAATTAGAGACACCTAGCTCAGCTAGCCGTTGTATAGCTAATTTTATTGAATTTTTTATTTATTTATGGCGTTTTACATACCTAGTGTTAGCAGAAAACACATTTCATTAAAATCGTATAAAAGCCTACAATCTACAGCACTGTCAGTTGGTATAGGTATATAAAAATATATGTGGATGACAGAAAAAAAAGAAACTTAGGTCACATTGCAAGATGATCCTCAAACTGCATTTACTTATCACATGACATCATTAAGAATTTTGAGTTTGTTGTCAAAGCTCATTGATTCACTGATCAAAAAAAAGGTTTGTTAAAAACAACCCAATGTTAATTCTTGGATTAAAAAAAATCGTGTAAGGCTAGGATCTGTAAAATAATAATAATAAATAATAAACAAAACGACCACCATGTTTTTGACATTGTGAAACCCAGATCTTCCAAACACGATCTCAACGACTTGAAGAACAAATGTGCATTTAAGATCGTGAACGCTGAATAAATGGTAGCAATTGTAACAGCGTAAATCACTTTGTAACATTATAAATAGTTACATTTCTGTGGCATGTTACGTTTACTCAATCCATTCATGATACAAGTAAAAGTGTGACAGATTTAAACAAATTGATTAACATGCGTAGTTTTAATCATTCAAAATATTACATGCAATAAAATATGCAATAAAAGACATCTAACGCTTGCTAAAAACGCTAGATCAGTATATATATATGTTAATCTAGACGTATTGTATCTATCATAATGACGGTTCTACTACCCACAATAAATAGTATAACAAAGAAATCGAGATCTACTACCGATTATTGTAGGAATAACCAAAACATTTCATAAATACTTTTAGTACATTTTTTTATATACGTCGCTCCACAACAGGTATTACCTTCTTCTCAGTTCTTATAAAATACATAAGACGTAACGAGCCCCCCAATGGCACAGCGGTATGTCTGCAGACTTACGGCGCTAGAAACCGGGTTTCGATACCTGTGGTGGGCAAAGCACAAATAACCCATTGTGCAACTTTGTACTTAACTTGTTTGTTTGTTTGTAATTAAGCACAAAGCTACACAATGGGCTATCTGTGTTCTTAACTACAAACAAACAAGACATAACAAAATTTATAAGTTATTATTTGAATCAAACATCAGTGAAGCTAAGCTTTGAAGAAGATTCATCCACGGCTCTGAATTGGCTCAAAAGTTCAGCAAACACATCAATGAAGATTTTGAGACATCCGATCAACATGATAACTTAATTCGCAGAGACGAGTGTTTGAATTAAGACCGATTTCAATTTTCCTACGTTTTCTGAGGCTATAATCTGTTTCGTAAACTGTTACAAATTATTATCAAAATAAAAAAATGCATATTTTATTGAGACAAAGCTGCATATTTATCGTTTTGAAAGTAGCTTATATCTATATACTCGTATATCCTTTTGTATATTTCTCTATTACAGAAATGTCACTGTCATTAAAAAATGTATCTTTAAAAACAAAGCTGGTGTTCGCGTATATTTAAACAACAATTTTTTAAATTATACGTTCTATTAATTATTTCGAGCTATTGTCTTGATACCAATAGGTGGGTGATCAATGATGTAAAAAGATAAAAGTTAGTTAAAACTTAATACAAATTTAGGCTAAAATTTGACGTACCTGCAGACGTAAAACTATATTGTCCGTTTACTAGTCTTTCCAAGAAAACACATTCAGTCAAGTATCATTTGAATGGTGTTTACAAGACAAAGACAACAACTATATGTCTTGTACATAAAGCACGTTATCATTCAAAGGACATTCATGTGGAAATCTGGATTATTATCATTATTATTCTAAATTGAAGATTTCATTCACTGTCGAGAGTAAGTTTCCATTCACTGTCGAAAGTAAGATTTCATTCACTGTCGAGAGTAAGATTTCCATTCACTGTCGAGAGTAAGATTTCATTCACTGTCGAGAGTAAGTTTCCATTCACTGTCGAGAGTAAGATTTCATTCACTGTCGAGAGTAAGTTTCCATTCACTGTCGAGAGTAAGATTTCATTCACTGTCGAGAGTAAGATTCCATTCACTGTCGAGAGTAAGATTTCATTCACTGTCGAGAGTAAGTTTCCATTCACTGTCGAGAGTAAGATTTCATTCACTGTCGAGAGTAAGATTTCATTCACGGTCGAGAGTAAGATTTCATTCACGGTCGAGAGTAATATTCCATTCACGGTCGAGAGTAAGATTCCATTCACTGTCGAGAGTAAGATTTCATTCACTGTCGAGAGTAAGATTTCATTCACGGTCGAGAGTAAGATTCCATTCACGGTCGAGAGTAAGATTCTATTCACTGTCGAGAGTAAGATTCCATTCACTGTCGAGAGTAAGATTCCATTCACTGTCGAGAGTAAGATTCCATTCACTGTCGAGAGTAAGATTTCATTCACTGTCCAGAGTAAGATTTCATTTACTGTCGAGAGTAAGATTCCATTCACTGTCGAGAGTAAGATTCCATTCATTGTCGAGAGTAAGATTCCATTCACTGTCGAGAGTAAGATTCCATTCACGGTCGAGAGTAAGATTCTATTCACTGTCGAGAGTAAGATTCCATTCACTGTCGAGAGTAAGATTCCATTCACTGTCGAGAGTAAGATTCCATTCACTGTCGAGAGTAAGATTCCATTCACTGTCGAGAGTAAGATTCCATACACGGTCGAGAGTAATATTCCATTCACCGTCCAGAGTAAGATTACATTCACGGCCGAGAGTAAGATTACATTCACTGTCGAGAGTAAGATTACATTCACTGTCGAGAGTAAAATTACATTCACTGTCGAGAGTAATATTCCATTCACTGTTGAGAGTAAGATTCCATTCATCGTCGAGAGTAAGATTACATTAACTGTCGAGAGTAAGATTACATTCACTGTCGAGAGTAAGGACACACCAGTTGTTTCCTAATAATATTATTTTTTAAATTACACTTTCTTCAGCTCACTATTTTAAACTAATTGGGAACTAAACTGGACAAATAAAATGTTCCGATGTATTTAAGCCTGGAATAGCCTGGTGATTAGTGTGCTCGACTCGCAAACTGAGGGTCGCGGGTTCGAATCCCCGTCCCACCAAACATGCTCGTCCTTTCAGCCGTGGGGGCGTTATAGTGTGACGGTCAAACCCACTATTCGTTGGTAAAAGAGTAGCTCAAGGGTTGGCGGTGGGTAGTGTTGACTAGCTTCCATCCCTCTAGTCTATCACTGCTAAATTAGGGGGGCTAGCGCAGATAACCCTCGAGTAACTTCGCACGAAATTGAAAACAGGCCAAACCAAATATATATATATATATATGTTTCTAGTATTGATATGTGACTAACAAAGTTTAGTCTGCTTTAAATAGTGTCATTAAACGTGCTTTAAGTAAAATCTGCCTTAATTTCGCTCGTGCGATAATATTATACATAAGTTTTACATTGAATTTGTAACACCAGGCTTTAAATCAACTCTTGCGGCGAAATTTGTTGACATTTAGCCAAATTTACTGTGTTTACTGTGGTATAAGAACAGTTAAAATTACAGTTTAAATTTATATTAACATAATTATTTCTAAAGCTATGATATTTGTTTATCTTATGAAGTGAGAGCGGAAAAATGGTTTATTCCAGCATATTTATCAACCGCACAAAAATATATTCAGATGTTTACAGACATTTCACTTTTGTCGCTTCTACTGTGTACTTTTTGATGTTTTATAATATGATATTTTGTTATAGTTCCCAAGACCAAAATATTCTATTAGCTTAGTTCCACTCTGTGGTTGGGTAACACCTTGTTTTATTGAACTATTGGGTCTATATATCGAACAAAGTTTTTTAACCCCAGAAGACCAGAATGCTCAGAAGAATATACAGAAAAGGTAAACGTAACACCAATTGGGTTGTCCGAAAGACGTCATGGTCAAAACTAATTTTCTTTCCTAGTAGCAAAAATGTATACTCAAACATATCACATGGAAATGAGTAATAGGAAACTAACTAAGAAGTGGGGACACCTGGTCAGTGTACTCCATTAGCAGTCTGGTAAGAAGCCAACATCACATATCTTTTAGCTATCAAAACCATCTGGCACTCTTGGCGTGCGCAACGTGTGTCTGGCTAACTGCAGTCCGTTCCTAGATGCTTAAATAAGAATGATTTCTGTTACAGAAATGAAAAGTAGCCAACAGATAGACAGAGATTCTACTCCCCCTCGCCTACTTGTCATTACCTATAACTTATCAATGTCCCCCATCTGCAAACATTAATTTTTTTTCTTTCAGCTGTTATATTTCAAGTAATGCCAAGGGAAGAAATTGAAATACATCACCCTATGAGCCAAAAAAAAATCTATCATTGGATTTTCAACCTAATAGTAATAGGTAAGAATTATTAACTCCCCACATGGGGAGTTAAGGAGACATATTTCACATCAGTGAATATCGAGCGAATAGAAGCTACAAATGGTGAAATTATAACGTATTCCGTACTAAACCGATAGCCCCCCTCCACCAGTGGCACAGTGGTATGTCTGGGGACTTATACCGCTAGAAACCGGATTTCGATACCCGTGGTGGGCAGAGCACAGATAGCCCAATGTGTAGCTTTGGGCTTAACTCTAAAAAAACAAACATCTGCAAGACTCCTTCATTTGCCGAATTCCCTTTTTTTGTTGTAAATTGTGGAACTTTATAATTTTATTTCATTGTTATGAAATAAAGAAGAAAACTGAATATGAACTGTTGAAGTTACTCTTGGGAATTGGTTATCTACAGGAACTACACATATTACTTAATTCTGATGAATTGTTGAAGTTACTCTTGGGAATTCGTAATATACAGGAACTACACATATTACTTAATTCTGATGAACTGTTGAAGTTACTCTTGGGAATTCATTATCCACAGGAACTACACATATTACTTAATTCTGATGAACTGTTGAAGTTACTCTTGGGAATTCGTTATCTACAGGAACTACACATATTACTTAATTCTGATGAACTGTTGAAGCTACTCTTGGGAATTCATTATCCACAG